AACAGCACACCACTGATATCACACCAGCATAAACCTGGCACAGCTTCCTGTTATATGGGCCAGCAGTGATCAGTGACAGGGTTGTGCCCCCCCCCCAAAAAAAAACACATTACATCAGCTACAATGTTGTCATAAAAACACTTCCATGGAATTCAATGGGAGAGAAAAACAAATTCCTCTATCTTGCCCCCACTGGGCCTAGGCAGCCACAATACAGCTTAGGAGAACAATTAAGTTTACAGTCAACTACTGTGCACACCAAAGCGTTATACAAACTTTAACACGAGACTCGTATCTCAGATAACAGTGTGCATGGCATGGGGATACAGATCTCTGGACTGTATCCCCATGCCACAAGTAGGAATTTTGGTGATGTGAACTATAAAAAGGGGACTCCAAAAAAAGAAAGCACCTTCCACAAAAAACTAGGAATGAAAATACTGCTAAAACAGATTGTTAGTATTCCTTTATCCTTACCGGTAGTCCAACTGAGGACAAGAATATTAACCGTGATCCTCCTCTCCTCCAATTTGGGATGCCTCACAAAGGCATTACATTATGTTTTTTTCCTTCCATTTCAAGGTCATCTCAGAGTTATAAAGCCACAATTTATTGTAATTTGTAGGGCTTCCAAGAGGCAAAGAAATAAACAAATGTTTGGGGCAGAAAGGACAAGCCTGATTACTATGGGAGGCAACCATTTAGATAAGCCACTATTTATGTGTGTAGGTGAGAAGATAGGAATAATTTCCCACTTTTGGCCAGAGAACAACAGGCTTTACAAACAGGGAAATCAAAGGGTATTGAGAATTGAAATTCAAGTCATTTCTTACTGTTTTGCCATGAAAGGGAAACAAACATATTTTGCATAAACTGGCATAAAGGCAAAGAAATCTCTATTAGCAACATAACTGGGAAGCCTTCTCTTCCCTGTCCTTCTAGAATGGGACTGATAGCTTAGCAAATGATATGGCACCTTTACCTGAGGTCTTTCAAACTTCTCATTATCCTATATTCCTTTCCAGTTCCTTGTGGTATATTTAATTACTACCAGCTCTCTCTCTCTGCTGCATCAAGGCAACTCATTTAGTGGAAGGCAGCTCTTGGATCCAACACATTAAAAATTGATTCACACAACCAACTTTGTGAATGGTGTAACAGGAGTGCAGGAAACCTAGAAAATGACATTTTCTGAAAGATTGATTCCTGATTTGAACATGCACTGAACTGATCAAAGGCTTGAATATAGGGATGTGCATGAACCAGCTCACAAAATAAAGTTTGTGATGAACTTTGGCCATTTGTGGTTTGTGAAGGGAAGTTCATGGCAACTTTCATGAACTTTTAGCACTGTTCGTAGTGGTTTGTGGCAGTTCATGAATGGAGACAGACTGGTGCTGATCAATTAAACTGTTTACAGAACTGCAAGGCAATGGAGGGGCAGAATTCTCCAGCCTTGGAAACACCAATAGGAGCCCTCCAGAGCTTAACAGGCACTGCTGGCTGCCAATCAAAGAGTCCGCATTCTGCTCCATGGGCTCAAAATGCTTTATATTCAGTCATCTCCCCACCCACCCTTTCCTGTGTTGGTTGGTGTGAGAGAGGCACGGAGCTTGTTAAAAGCAGAGCAGATTAATTGCTTTCTGCTTGTGCTCTGCTCTTGATTGCTGGGGTTTGGGTAGATGGAATCAGAACTCTGAGCCACAAAGTCTCTCTATTCATGCCAAGCACTGGGGCTTAGTTACTGGGTACCGTGACAGTGAGGACCCAGATTTCATACCCCCATCCTTCCTGATTGTGATCTGCTCTCTCCTGCTGGGGTTTGGGTGTAGGTGGACTCAGGGCTCTGAGCCACCAAGTCTCGCTGCTCGTGATGAGTACTGGGGCTCAGCTAACCGGGTTCCTCAGTGGAAGACCAAGATTGTATACCCCCTACCCCTCCTGATTTTAATCTGCTCTCTGATTCTGGGGTTTGGATATAGGTGGACTCACAACTCTGAGCCACTGAGTCTCTCTGCTTATGTCAAGCAGTGAGGCTTAGCTGGTGGGTGCCTCAGATGAGGGCCCACATTTATAAACCCTCCAGGATTTGGGTTTCAGGGGTGGTTTTGGGGCTTTGAGACACCCAGTCACTCTGCTCCAGATGAGTACAGGGGCTTAGTTGATGGTCGCCTCATATGAGGGCCCACATTTATATACCCTCCCATGACTTGGGTGTCAGAAGTAGTATCAGGACTCTGCAGCAATATCATCCATAACTACATTGTCATGGACACCAGCATACTGGCAGCAGTTAAGGCTGCACAACTCAAGGACATTGTCTGCCTGGCGTAGAGAGAATCAGCCCAATTGGGGAAACGGGAGACCATGGACAGAATAACTGCTTTTGTGGACCTGGTCTCATAGAAGCATAGAGTTGGAAGAGGCCTCTATGGTCATCTAATCCAACCCCCTGAACAATGCAGGAAATCCACAAATACCTCCCCCACACCCCCAGTGACCCCTGTTCTATGCCCAGAAGAGGGCAACCCCCCCCCCTTCAGGATCCCTGGCCAAATTGGCCTGGAGAAAATTGCCTCCTGATCCCAAAGTGGCAATCAGCATTTCTCTGGGCATGTAAGACAGGGCCACAAGAATTAAGCACTGATGCAACCCTTCCTGTCCCCCCCCCTCTCATGATCTGCCTAACTTCACAGAATCAGCATTGCTGTCAGATGGCCATCTAGCCTCTGTTTGAAAACCTCCGAAGAAGGAGAGGCCACTACCTACCGAGGAAGTTTGTTCTACTGAGGAACTGCTTTTCAGGAAGTTCTTCCAAATGTTTAGCCAAAAACTCTTTTGATTTAATTTCACCCCTTGTACATGATCCATTCTATATAACCTCCTGAACCTGCACCTGTCATTTCCCCAGAACACATTTTCCTGGGGGCACCTTTTTTGGACGGCTATAACTTGAACCCTGTAAATCCAATCTTCACCAGACATGGAGGGCAGATAAAGGAGAGTCATCAGGACATCCCCTGCCCTGCAAGTTTGGTGTCTATAGCATGCTGGGGTGGGGGTGTTCTAAAGGTAAAGGTTCCTTTGCTCGAAAGCCAGTCAAATCCGACTCATCTCCATTTCAAAGCAGAAGAGCCAGCGCTGTCCGAAGACATTTCCATGGTCATGTGGCCAGCATGACTAAACACCAAGGCACACGGAACACTGTTACCTTCCCACTGAAGTGGTACCTATTTATCTACTTGCAATTTCTTGCTTTCGAACTGCTAGGTTGCCAGGAGGTGTTCTACCGCATCACAAATTTCACAAAACAGTTTCGTTTGTATGAAACCTTTTTGTTCGTAATGGTTCATAGTTTGGTTCATAAGTCTGCCATGAACTATGAACCAACCACATTTTCCCAGTTCATGCCCATCCCTACTTGAATATATGTGAATTGCCTCTATGAAGTGTTCTATTGTAGAAATTTTCCTTTCTTCCATCATCTCCTACTGGGGATAAAGCTAAATTTCAAAATCTGTTCTGTTTGATTTGAATCTTGCTGTTGTGATTATATTTTTCCATTCTGAGAAACATATCTATACATGTTCGTTTTTACACCATTCTCATTCCTCATACTGCATTTCCCCTTTAAAAGTACTGCATTTTAACATTTAAAAAACCCAAACAATGAATGGCAACAAGAAAAATGAAGGAAATTGAAACCAACAACAATAACAACACTGGCTGCGGTCACATGGAGCATTAGCCACGCTAAAGCGACGTAAGACAGGCAGTTTCCGGGCGCGATCTCACCGGCACATCTGGGAAGCGTAGCACTTCCGTGGCTCAACCAAGGCTTCCCGTCAAAAACACGCAGCAAAAAACTAGTACCTCGGAGGTACTAGTTTCCGGAAACTGTGGGGCAAGGGCAGACGTCTGATCGCGTTTCCGGAGACATCCGGCACCCGCCCATGTCCCCTTGCAAACAAGGTTTTTTTTCCCAAAGTCTCCATGGATGCGCACAAGCACCCAACGGAGCATGCACAGTCGTGGTGTACACACAAAAAACCCCAACCAGTTTGCTGCACCGCACGCTTCTGTTCTGCGCGCGGGATTGTCCTGCGATCGGCACCTCTCCCTTCCCACGGTACCTCCACGGTACCTCCACGGGAGGTCTGATCACGTAACTGCGCGTTAGTTTGCCCCAGGGCAAACTGCCACGCTTCCCCCCCGCAGTTTCCTGTCCGTGTGACCGGGGCCACTGAAAATCAAAAAGAGGCAAAAAAAAGGGCCTAATCCTAAACTGTTGCAAGGAATGTAACTAAAACTCAGGAAACTTGTCACAATTTTTACCTTACTGTCTGTCTGCTTGTCCAGGATCTTTCCATTGTTAACTGCTTAAATATTCACACTTCACATTACACAATGCAAAACTTCTATTAACTATAAGAAAACTAGCTCCTCTCTGCACATTTCAGATTTTTATGAGACAACAGAACAAAAAAGAAAAAATGCCAGGTGATAGGTGACAAACCCCCACATGATTCTTATGACAGCAATTGAAACTATTGTGATTTTTATGTGGTTGTGAGATACGAAATATAGAGTGGATACCTTAGGGTGCTTGTACTTTTTGAAATGCTCTACAAAATGTTTATATTTTGTTCCCAAGCTAACAAAATCAAGAAAACAGTTGTCCTGCACAGCTGTGTTTGCAAAAAGTAACATGTTCCTGCATATTTTGTGTAATCAGCTATTTTGCTATTTTGACCTGCAGGATATATACTGTGTATTTTGTATATTCAGTAACCTTAGTCTAAGTTGTTGCAAGCAATGCAGTTTAGAAATAGCATGTTTGGTTATGTGTGAATGGGAAAGAAAAAGTGCTGAAATAGGGCTGAAGAGGATATTACCCCCTCCGTTCTGACCCTGAAATTGTTGCACTAACCTAGGACAAGTGAAATGCTATTAATCTTTCCATGTACTCAGCCTTGTTCTTACACCTCCCCACACACCAGAATGAAAGATACGGCAATGTTCCTGAAAGCAAAAACTGTGGGAACCAAGGACTGCCAGACAAAGCCACCTGAATTGTCCACAGGGAATATCTGGTGTTGGATAAAGCTGCTGAACAAGAGCAAGTTTCACCCACATTGGGTGGTGGAAGAGAAGGAACTGAAGATGGGCCAGAACACCTTGGCATCACCAGCCATACAAGAGAGAGGATCAAGCCTGGCAGAGGCAGAGTTATACCTTACTTACCAGGTGTCCCCTGTCTGGAGAGTCTTTGGTACCCTATCTTCAAGATCTAACCAAACCAACTCTGTAGTGAATGTGCAAAGTAAGAGTATGAATAGTATAGGGTGCATTGGTGCAAACTGATAAAGCCTTACTTATTTTAAAGGATCCTTGCTTGGGACTCTGTTTGTTCACTGCTGGATCAGGATCTGATTAGCCATGTGATTGGTAACTTTGTGGCTGCATGTGCAGGGGTGAGAATAAAGAGGTAACACATTTATACCCTTGTCCTTTTTTGGTGAAAGAGGGGGAGAGGTAGAATGAAGTGACTGTGGATGAAGCCCACAAAATGATGCCTCCAGATCAATACGATGGTCAGGAAGACTATTCAGCCGTCTAGAATTCAAACATCTTTCTAGTATAACACTCCAGATTTGAGCTTACCCCTAACCCTCTGTGATCCAGGAAATATTTCATTTGAACCAAGCATGCCACCTGATCACAAGAGGTCACATTTTATTCCTCTACATGTAAAAAAAAAAAAAAAAAAAAAAAACTTCCACAAGATTAAGCATGCTCACAGAGCACTCAGTTTCCATGCAATCTGAGGTCTGTGTGGTACAGAGGAGTGAAACATGTTCATACTCCCAGTCCTGCCAACTATGAACCAAGATGCAGTGATTATTATTGGATGACTTTATTTATTTATTTCATCATTATTTATAGTTCACTTTTTTCATTGAGGTGGATTACACAGTGTAAATCAATACATTCAACAGGAAGGGACATCCCATAAACCATGTAATAGGATAAAGACTGCAGAAATCTGGGGGGGGGAGTTAGTATTAATATGACATTTTAAATTATGAATAGTTTAAAATAGGAGGATGATACATACACAGTCCACAGTCCTTTCCCCATCATTAAAGCATTTTTCTGAACTGTTCCATATTACTTGTGTAAAAATGTCCTCCTCAATAATTCACTTTTGCATAGTTTGCAGGTAGGTGTTTCAAACTACATGATCAAACGTGCCTCTGCTAGCTCCCATCTGCACTTAAATAGTACCTTCATCAAACATCCCACCTTCAGTAAAGAGTGACCCCAGCACCACTGAAAAGCGCCATCCCCACCACACATTCAACATGCTTCTACATCTGAACCTCATCTATAAGTTTTCATATCAGCATATCCAAACTCGGTTTTGACTCAGTTCAAATTTCCCACATTTGCAGAAATATTAAAATATTGGGTCATCTGGAAATGGTTTCCAGAAGGATAGTTAATCTTTTCATTACTTCAGCCTAGAACTGATTTTACCTTAAGGCATAGCCAAAGTGTATTGAACAAACTGTTGTTTCTAAATCCATACTTCCAATATGTACTATTCACTTTTGTGATGACTGGCTTTCTTTTCAAATATTTCAACTGGTGTCTGATAGGTCTTGAAGAACATCTAAAAAGCTGTGTGAGGCACCAGGTATGTTAAATTAACAATAGTAGTCTCACTTGTTGGAGATGGCACATTGTTGGAAATGACTTAATTATGACACACAATTAAATGTTATGAAGCACATTTTATTCTTTTGAGTTAGTACCATCTAAAAAAGATAATAAAAGAAATAATAATTAATTAGAGAACAATTTAATCTACCTTGATATCATTAGCCCATTAATCTGAGAGTTAGGAGCAGTGGGCTGAGGTTAATGTGTGTATGAGGGAGTTCCTTTAGTGTTGAATATTAATGGGAAGATATATGGAGGATTAGGGTGAAAAAAAGAGAAATATATTTCATCCCCAAAATTTCCACACTTTGATACAGGTGCATTTGGAATATAACTAACCAAAATCAGAGCTGGACCCATCCTAGTTAACTTCAGAATGGCTCCGATCACACCAGAGAGGAACTGCGGGCAGGAAGTGAGCCTGTTTGCCCCAGGGTGAACTGACGCGTGTTTGCGCAATCAGACTTCCGCCCGCCTGCCCCGCAGTTCTGGATATAACTAGCCTTTCCCCGGTGACTTTTTGCGATGCTCCTGCGGTGCAACAAGATGCCCCACCAACGACTCCGAGACGCTGGACAGATGTGTCCATCTGATCGCATCCCTTTAATCCGTGGGGGAATCGCATGTCTGTCGCAGCTTCTGGTACGTATGATCACAGCCAATGATAAATAATTCAAATGACGTTTCTTCAGACTTTCAGATATGAACTGACTAGTCCTGTTCTGGTAGTTCCACAACATATAGAGCTGCATTCTATATTTTAGTTTCTAACTATAAATTCTCTGGTGAAAAAGCAGCAAGAGGAGACAGGGAGTCAAGAGACCATAAACAGTCAACCAGAACAAGGCAAGTGTATGCAAAATGGTTGCCTGAATCACATTACTGATGTAGTGAGAGTTCTCATTTTATGTAACTGTGCCCTAACCCTCTATTATCCAGGAAATATTTCATTAGGCATGAGCCTAAATGTAGGATGGAACAAATGTCCATAGCAAAAGGGGAGGGACACAGAGTTTTTTGGACTAAACTTAACCCCACTGCAGAAGTCACATGCCATGCCATGCATCTTTGGAAAATGAGAGGTTTTGCTTAGGATTGCCACATCTGGGTAGGGCCTGGAATTTCCTGGAATTATGGTGGATCTTCCGACTATAGAAATCAGTTCTCCTGGAGGAAATGATGGTGGATTTTCTGACATTTCTTGCTGAGCTCTCTTCCTTTCCCGAACTCTTCCTTTCCCAGACACCACCTCAGAGGCTGTGGTCACATGGGAAGGTAATTCTGCTTTGTTCCCGCTTTAATTTAATCAGGAACATTTTTCTTTGGGTTGGGCTGATTAGATGCAGCCGGCCCCTCTCTTCCACCACCTGCTTGCCTGCCAGCTCCTAAGGAAAATCAGCCATCTTTCAGCTCCAGCAAGCTGCCTGCCCGACCAGCCCCGGAGGGGTGGGGAAAGGAAGACTGGCCGAGAGGGCTGCTGCACTCAGCTTGGCTCGCCGGGGTAGGCTGAAGCCACAAAAACCGGGGGAACCTCCGCTGGGACCTGGGGACTGGCAAACCTATCTAGATTAGATTGCTGCAATGCACTTTCCATGGGTTTGCCCATGGAGTTCAGAAACTTCAGTTGGTACAGAGTGCTGCAGCCCGGATATTGACTGATGTGAGTCAGAGGGACCATATCACTCCAGTCTTGGCCTATCTGTACAGGCTTCCAATTGGTTTCTGGGCCCAATTCAAAGTGCTGGTGCTGATCTTTAAAGCTCTCTACAGCTTGGGACCAGCATACCTTAAAAACCACCTGATTCCAAAGAAACCTACCCCACTGCTACCATCATCTCTTGAGGCCCTGCTTCTGGAGCCTCCATCATCTGAGGTTAGGCAGTTGGCAACTCAAAAGAGATTGTTTTTAGTTGTGACACCAGAACTATAGAACTCCCTCCCACTGGTATTCTCTGTCCCCCTCTATCATTGTCTTTGCCCAGTAGTTGAAGAATTTGTTTTATCTAGGATTCCCCTCAATGATCCTTCCTTCCTCCCCTATGTTTTAATTTATGTTTCTGTGTTTTGTATATGTATTTTAGTTTTGGATTTAATTGGTTTTATAATGTGCTTTAAAATGCTCTACTTTTAATCTTTATGATGCACTTTTAAGTTCTATCATATGCTTTTATAATGCTTGGCTTTTAAATTTTAACTGCCTTGCTGGCACAGATTGGGCAGAAAAGGAGAATATACATTTTGTAAATAAATAGCTACTGTATTTTTGCCACTAAATAGTTCAGTCTCACTGTCTTATATCACTATCATTTTACTTTTCTTTACTTTTCGGTGTCTCAGCTATTACAGTACAATTGCTTGGTTTAAATATGTGTCTCTCCTCCTTTCTCCCTGGGGCAGAAATATTAAGCTATAGCCCAAGCTGTGTATACAATAGACTTCCATGATGCTCTGGAATTTTTGTTCAGGTCCTGCATGAGTGAGGATGCTCATATGTCCATGCTGGACCTGGGGCTCATTTTGGATAACACAAGCTGCTTATGAGTCTTCCCATTCACCAGTCAAGTGCAGGGTGGGTGTTTTCCCCCCATAAAACAGAGCATGCAGGCAAAGGGAAGTTAACTCCATAACTTCCTATGTCTTAACTTATTATGTGTTGCCCTGCAAGACATATATTGTGCTCTTATGGACAAAGTTCATAAGTAATAAAACCTGAACTGTGCAAGCAATGTGCAAATAGGGACTGAACTGTGTTGTGACCCAAAAAGGATGCCAGCTAGACACACACCCAGAAGCAGAAAGCTTTTCTGTATGTTGTGCCAATGGTCCCTGGAAGTTACCTACCCTCTTGCCTGCTGTAAGATGGACCAGCTCCCTAGCCATGTGAAGCACTGTAAACCCAGAGAGAAGACAAAGAGACAAAGAAATCCAAACACAATGAGAAGCCTCTTCCAACACACGCAGGCATCATTCCCCTCCCCCACAGAGTCTCACCTAGCTGAAAGGTGACAGGCAGAAGACAATCACGGAATCTTAATGACAAAGACTCTGGCCACATGAGTCATCCTGTCAGGTGCTACTGCTCAGCCCAAAGTTACTAGATCTCAATATTGTCCACTCCCTTAATCTCCTCCACCAAAACCCTTCTCCAATAGGATGTTTTTGGGACAGACTAGTAGGAGGTGGGCCAAGACATGTGACCTGCCTGGCCTAACCCCCCAAGCCCCCCTCTTCAAAGGGGGCACCCAGCCATTTTTTCTCTCTCTTGCTCTCTCTCTGCACCTAACCCCTACCTATCTCACTGACTCTGGATTAGCTACCCAAGAGTTTATTCATGCATCTTTGCTGGCCTAAGACATGACCC